AGAAGCAGAAGCAGAAGCAGAAGCAGAAGCAGAAGCAGAAGCAGAAGCAGAAGCAGAAGGAATGAAAACTTTTCCATTTTCTTATGCTTATGCTTAATGCTTATGCTTATGAAATCCAAAGTGTGAACCAGGATATTCTCATGTTTCTTATGCTTATGTTGATGTTGATGTTGAAGTGTGGACCAGCACTTTGAAGCTGAAAAGTCAAGGGCGGATAAAGCCAAAATTTAAGCCTGGTTTTCACTAGCGACGGAAGCAGAAGCAGAAGCGTAAGACGTCTTATGTTCCTGTGAAAATCAAAAAACGGAGACGTAAGCAGAAGCAGAACATCGACGGAAGCATAAGCAGAAGGAACGGAAGGTTTCCTTTTTCTTATGCTTTTGCTTCCGTCCTTACGTCGCTAGTGAAAACCAGATTCTTATGCTTCCGTCGCTAACAAACAGAAGCACAAGGTACAGTGGTAAGCCAATCAAATTCTCGTACTCAGTCCCCTGCACGGAAAAATTTCCTATAGTTTTTCTTATGCTGCCGTTACATTCGTTTTCACTAGAACATAACGATTTTATGCTTATGCTTATGTCGCTAGTGAAAACCAGCCTTTAGGGGGGGGCTATAATTGAGTTTAGGGGGGGCTAATTGAGTTTAGGAGGGGCTAATTGAGTTACTTCCGTCAACACAACAGAAAACGATGAAAAAAAGCATCTAATTCTTTAGTTTAGTTTAGTTTTTTTTCTGCTGGTGGGGGCTTAAGCCCCCCTTGGCCCCCCCTGGCCCTTGAAAGCAGTATGCCAAGGAACCCGATCGAACTAGCCCTAGTCCTGATTTACCATAATGGCTACAAGTACCATTTAATAAACAATATTCAGTCTCCAGGCAATGACATTTTTCAACCTTGATACGAACCTTCATTCCAATCCTTGACTTGCCTTCTTAGAAAAGAACAATAACAGTGCCATAGCTGTAGGTAATCCTGGCTGACAGTGAACCCACAAGTTAATGCTTTGTCTAATGTATCTGGGAGGAAAAGGTTTATTACAAGAAATATGTCATGGCCAAGACAATGTCTCCATGTAATCTCATGCTTTCCATTTTCTATAAGGAAATGTCTTCGAACCCTTCTAGAACCTGATGGCATTTTTAATAGACTTGCTCCAAGCGACCCCTTCTTGTCTTGGAGTTTTGTAATCAAGAAAAGAGAGAATTCAAGCTAATGTCAAGCATGGTGTAGTCGCAAGAGTTCAAGCTTGTCTTGCTTGCATAAAATTCATTTGCGTTTCCTGCCATTTCTGAAATGGATACCAGGAGTATACATCTGCTTTTAGGACGTAAAGCCTGGCAAATGACTGAACAGAGGGTTGTGGACTTTGTGAAAGTTCCTTTGAACTAACCATAGAAGTGAAGATTGTCTTGGTGTTAACAGCCTACCCAAATTCACTTACAAAATAACTACATAATTCCTATTAGTGTATCTGTAGGGCGGCATTTGCAATGCCAACATTATACCTTTTTAGCTTAGGCATGACGCTTTACCTGTTTTTGGACCTCATGGCAATCTCTTGAGTTTAATTTCTTTGTTTAACAGTTGCACATGAGAAAACACATGAATATGGACACAACTTAAACAAATAATCTTATTCTCAAGGGAATGACACATGGTTTGAAATCCATGGGAAAACATTATTGTTTGAACAAATTACCTTTGATTTTTGATTTTTCCACTTTTGATCTCTCCTGTAGAGGTAAAAGAAACTTAGATCAGCATAATTAGAACCTAGACATTTATCGCTCTGTGCCACATTCTAGAAATATGTTGTAAATGGCATTTTACCCACGAGAGTGTTATGGGATGTTACTTTTTGTTTATCAACACCAATTCACATTACTGTATTTTTTTTCTCTGTACTTCAAGGTTTCTTTTCTCTGGGTTCTCTGGCTTTCCTTCCTCCACAAAAATCAACTTCTAAATTCCAATTTGATTACAGAAGAAGAGCCACAGGTTTGTTAGCTACAAGGTATTTAAAAGTGTTACTCTCACAAAAACAAGTGCAAATACATTGAGTATCATATTTTTCTACGTAATGTAATTCTTTGCTTATGAACACAAATTACTTATTATTTTTAAAATTCCAAAACGACTGCCTTACCAGTGCTTTCATATAATTCTGCCAAAGGACTGAAACCCAGGGACAGTTCCGTAGGGCACGCTCATACACAGTTATAGCAATGGAAGGCATTTTCAATTTGAAATCCTGCACAAAATAAAATATAACTTTAGTTCAGGGCTGGAATTTGCTGCAATAATCTGAATTTCTAAAATATATATTACATATAAAGGATGTGTGCATATGAGTGTAACTCTTCAAGTCCGTACAATGTATTGTGTAACTCCAGATAAATGTTTTTATACATTGAAATGTAGCACATGAAGAACACTACCCCTAATTAATGCGACTGGCATCTATTTGAACACTGGTGGGACTGAATAGTGTGTAATATCTGTGCACAAAGCAAGAGCCCAATCAAGGGCCTGGTTTGAATGTTTTGACTCTCCAGTTTACTTCCAAGCCTCATGGAAACTGCCTCAAGTCTGTCAAGTGCCAAAACAATTGGATACACATAACAAGGTCTTTGTGTAGCAAGTTTTGTAGGGAATCACAAAGGCTGGTTTAGACGGTACGATTTTTGCCTACAACTATTGTATACAAAACGCTCGCGCCTGTTGTAGGCGAGTTGTAGGATGGTGCGAGCGTGTCGTATACGATAGTTGTAGGCGAAAGTCATACCGTCTAAACCGGCCTTAAGAGAGTGAAGCTAACTTGATCCAGTATGACATACCAGGTATCCAGTGTACTCTATCCACAAGTCTCCTACCAAGCAGTTCTCTTTCAATGCTCTTTCATACAAACACTGTATTCTTACTGGGTCTCCTTTGTTAAGTTCATATTCTAAATATGTTCTGTACTCTGTAAGCTTGGGAGGCTTAGCACTTGCCTTCAATTAAAATATTAGTTATAGGATTAATATAATTTTGTCACTAGCTGAAAGGGGAACTCTGGGGGGAAAATCAAAGTACATTTCTTAAACTTGAAAGGCATTTAGTATACTAAATATCTCTTGCGCTCAATCCTAGTAAGTATTTAAATCACTTACCAAAGCATCCTCATATGCCAGTATTTCTTCCAATTTTGCCTCAGCTTTTTCGAAATCTTGTCTCACATTACTAGGAAGATCATCATCTTCAAGCCAGGTTTCAAAATCTCTCATTGTCCCTTGCATACCTGTGAGCATGCAGTCATGGACTGTTTACAATGTATGTTGTTTTCCATGTCAAGGGGACTGAAAAAAGATGTCCACAGTGGAAAGGGGGGGAGGGGTATGGATAATTTCTGGAACTACACAATGCAAAGTGCTGTAGCCCATAAAGAATAAATTATTAGTGAACTTACCCATGAGAGGAATGGCAAGCTGTCTTTTAAACAAAGATTTAATTCTCTCTCTTTGTGATGCACTGAAAAATAAATGTTTGAGGTGTTCTTGATTAAATTTTTTGAGATTGGCCGTCAATAAACTGGCACTTTCCAAGACAATGTATATGTATATAAGATTCTATAAAGAAACTTGCAACTTTCTTCAAAAGGGATGACAAGGCATTTAAATTGAATCTTTGGCAAGTAACAGTCAATAATGCTGTTAATATGTTTTTTCTTGAGAACATGTTGAGAAACCAGGTTTAAAGCAAACATAAAATTTTGTCGGTGGCAAAGCCAAGTGGATTTGGGAAAAATTACATTGTATCTTCGAAAGTTCTGCTTACTTACTTTACAGACAATATTCAAAAAACATAAATAATGGTCTAAAATGGTCAAATTGCAACTTAATGTTTGAGTTAATGAGGCAAAAACGGGGCAAAAACAGTGTAAACACTGAAACAAATGTTTTGGGACATTCAAAATAAGATACCAGTAATTTATACTCACATTTTCTCCTCCATTGAATCTATATTTTCATCTGTTAACATTTGCTTTTTAAAAAAAATGTAACAGTCACACAGAATCCTGATTTACACATCGTAAAAAATATCTTGGATGCAATGTATCATGAAACTTTCTAGCATGTTTCTAAACATTTTGGCTGGGTTTTCATAACGAGTTCTGAGACTCTGCTAGCAGGAAATTAAAGTGCACACAAACCCTTCAACTGACAATACTTTCAGACAGTGAGTACTGATTCTACATRAAGTGAATAGTTGAATGATAAAATATTTCTTGGTTTGAGTGATGCATCTTGAAGACATTAATTATGCCAACATCCTAACGACAAACTATCAATATCCTACCGACAACCTACTAACAACCTATCAGCAAATAAACTATCAAACAAACTACCAACATCCTACTGATACCAATTTGGGGGTCATATTGTTTACTATAGAGGCTTTGCACCATCACGTGATGGCGGCCATGACAGGAGACACAACAATAGTGTCTTTTTCCCTGGGAAACTGAATTCTTTCTCATGTAAATCAAATGAGATGAGATTCAATCGCTCCTGACTCCTGTCATGGCTGCCATCACATGATCACAGAATTTGGCCAACACAGAATGGTCCTCAACAACATTTACAACTTATATTTTACAACGACCACTTCCAGTAATGAGCTCTTCCATGAGATTTGCACACTACCACTACATTCACTAATTACAACATACAACAATCAACTCACATGATGCTTTTCATATAGAGGAAGGAAAATGGAAGAAAAACCCTTGTGGTAAGGGAGAGAAAACACATTAAACCACTCAATTCCAGGTGTAAACAGTAGTGAGAAACAGTGCCGAAGCAGTGCATGATACCCATGCCATTATATAGTAACTAATGCATAGTACAGACATTTGGTAAAAAAATACAGTCTTTGGTAGATGTTTCAAGGGGATTTTTTAAATATCTCACCTCAAATGAATCAAGAATAGCCATTTCAAAGTCTCTGTAACCATCCCAAATAGAGGATCCCTATAAAATAACAAGACAAAATTGTTTGTTGCATAATTTGGTACTTTAATGTAATGGATCATTCTCAAAATTATTATCTTGCCTGTGACACTATATACACGGAAATACTATAGACTCTTCCAGTCTCTTGCTTGTCCGTTCCGTCTCCACGCTTAGAGACTGTAACAGTACAAAGACCGAAAGGACCTATGGCTCCCGAAAACTTGGACCTGGCGTGCTTTGGGAACCAAAATACTCGTCCACAGTCTCTCTCGTTTCAATATTTTCAAGATGGCAGCGAAAACTCTCTCGTTTTCGCTGCCATCTTAAAAAATATTGAAACGAGAGAGAGTCTTTTCGGTTATTGTACCATTACAGTCTCTAAGCATGGAGTCTAGGAAATACTAAAGAAATGCCACAAACCTCGTTTAGAAAAAAGTCTAAAAGAGTATTTTGTGCTTTCAAGTTTAAGCCCCACAATGTTGAGAAAGGTCTATTATGGTGAGTAACACCACACACTAATGTCATCATATTACCTCTGTGACATGAAGTCCAGCAGCTGTGATGGCCTTCTCAAAAGTATTCCTGACATTTGAAATACTATCATCACCTTCCATGTTATCCATAATGAACTGGCAATACTCTATCCACAGTTTCACAGCTAAAAACAACACAAATGAATTAACTTCTAGCTACTTTTTTAATTGGCCAGATGACTACATCTAATCAATGGACCCTTCTAAATGTTTTTATCTTGGATGTCAAGCTAAAATGAAAATAAAAAAGAACTCAGAATTTTTCTCCAGGGAATTTGTATTTCCATGTTAGACATTGCATTAAATATAATAATGAGAATGGTCCATTAGGAATAGGGTATATAGTAGGTTGTTGGTAGGTTATTGGTACAGTAGGATGTTCAATTCAAAGGTTTTATTTAAAATTTACATAAAAAAGACTTGATGTTTTACTTCTAGATCAGCTTCACATAAAGCGTTCGTGTTGATCGGTATTTACTTCTCAATCGACTTCATACAAAGCTTTCAAAACTCTTTTTAGCACCATTCTAGAACTTCAAGTACATACAAATAATGATCTTTCAATTCAACGTGACAATAAAAGCATTCAAAACATACATCTTGGGGTCGAGTTGTTTCTGTACACGAAATGGACATGTACCAAAACAACTGGTATTCGTTTACTATTACATACATTGAATGTTATATTCAGTGTATAGACTCACATTGATAGTCTTTTACTCCTTTTTCAATTAAAGAAATGATTTCTTGTTTGTTCTCTGGAGTGTATGACAAAGGAATTTCATCTTTGATCCATTGAAGCCATAATTCTATAAAACAAGTCAGATACATGTTAAATCTAGCAAGTTTCCAATGGTTTAGCGTGTTATGTCCTCTTAATATTTACCAAAATATGAGTGCGAGCGGGTACATAACTAATATTATTTCAAAGAACACGCAAAAAGATTGAAAGAAAAACAGTTTAGTAAATGCTGTCTCTGTGCACATGTAATTTGTTGACATAATTTCTTGGTATACCCTCTTAGTTACTGCAGCTCTCAACCAATCAGAAAGCAAGAAAGTTTACATGTAGCAAATAGAGAATACTTCATGGAAAGTGCGCGTGTACAGTTTTAATTCACGAGTTTTTTGATACAAAACAAGTGATTAAAACTGTACAAAGCACTTTCCATGCTATATTCTGTTTATTATATACATATGTAGGCTTGTTGGCTCATATTGCTCTCCATCTTTTTGTCTAACTGAACAAATAAACTCTGCTAGATATCTATTTAGCTCTTGTGGCTCTATTTTGTGAACTTCTCTTTCCTCATATTGTGATGTTAGATAGCTTTTTCCCTTAGTATTCTTGTTTTGTAGACTTTCTGCATAATCCTCTACAGTGTCATTGGGAGTAACAAATCTATTTTTTCCCATTTTTTATGCCTTTGCTTACTTTTTACAGTAAAAAAGGACCTATTTTAGTAGAACAACAACAGCACTGACAAGATTTACTGCTTCGCTCAATGACAAAGCTACCAAGTCCATGAGCACAGGGATGGAAACCATTCAAGTGCAGTGCAAAAATATTGTTCGTCCAATCAGATTGGCGAACGACTTTTTTTCACAGTGAAATAACGTTGTTCGTCTCTCTGATTGGCTGAGACCAGTGAATGAATGAAAATTTACTGAATAGATTTTCAGTGAGTATTTCTCAGTATGTATATGAAAAAAATAATTTGTCAAATGTAAATATTATCAATGTTGATATAATAATGCATTGCACAGGATGTTCAGTTATACCTTCAGTAAGAGGGAAAACTTCACTCATATTTCTTCTTGCTTCACGAACTTTATCCAAATCACCAGAAGATCTCAAATGATCAATAAGATTTACATGGGAATCATACTTATATGGATTGGCCTGGATCTAAACAATTCAAATAGAAAGGAACCAGTTTGAATTAGTTAGGGTTGATTTTAGTAGGGAAGAAAAACTGGTAGCCTGGTTTGCAAAACAGAGCTGCCGATACTACAATGAAAAATTAGACCCTTACAAATGCGATTTCTAGCATTTTGAGGGTCATTTGTGACATTTACAGCCCTGCTAATATTTTGGTGAGTCCTTGCATAAATTTATATGACCCCCCCCTTTCCTCCCTGCATAAGAATTGGTGACCCATCCCCTTCCCCCTCCTCCCCCATAAATAATGACTGGTACCTTAGAAGAGTCTAATTATCACTGCCCAATTTGCCCATGTCCAAAGCCAATGACATAATTATACAGCTTCTCATTAATTCCATATAGGTAACTGTCCAATCATTTTCTTAATTGGACAGGTCTTGTTGATATGGGATTAATTTGGCAGCTATATAATTAATAGGTAATGGGATTTCATGCTCCCCAATCAAGAAATAATTAGACTCAAAAAATTCCTCTGACTGCCAAATTAGACTCGGCCTACGATCTCATCCAATTTTGTCAGTCCTCGGAATTTTCCTCATCCAATTATTTCTTAATTGGACAGCATGGAGTCATATTACATATACTTAGCTTTCATTTTCCAGCAACTGCAAAGCAGACTACTGGTTATAATACATTCTTTAGAGGGTAGTTTACCAGTAGCTTTGGCCCTACATGTATACTGCAGGCCAATTTCATTTGTGGCACCGAGGGTGCTCTTTGCTAGGGTTCATTACGTCGTCATGTTCAAGATGCATGAGTAAAATCATCAATGATCAAKCAATTTTTTATATTTTTTGTATAAAGTAAAGTAAGCTTATGTAGGTTTAGCATATACCCGCATATAAAACTCTGATGACATACTGAGTATAACTTTTGTAAAACTTGCCTCAAGTTCAAGTCTGTGAATTTCTGGGTCTTCAACTTCCCCTTGCTCCTTTTCTTCCTCATCGTCTTCCTGATCTTCTTCATCTTCGTCGGAACTCGAAGGGTCCTGTTCCATCTGTTCCACTGACGTTTTCATTTCGTCTTCCATCTTCATGTTTTCCGCCATTTTGAATCCGCAATGCTTTCTGGGATTATGGACCGCGCGCAAATAAACTCACCAATCAGAGCCCCCTATTTCGAGAGAGGGAAAAACAAATGGAGAGAAATTAAATAAGCTCAAAAATAGTAGGGCCTGGTGGATTCTTATTTTTGAGCTTGTCTATTATTTATAGTAGCTTAGTTCTTCAAATAGTTGACAACTTGATAAGAAAAAAAAACCGCGTTGAAGCCACGAATACGTGTACCTTTTCGCGTTAATAAAAATTGTACTCACTAGTTCATCGTTTGGTCGCTTTTTACTTGTCTGTGTTATAGAGAACACTATCTTTACCCCAAATTATTTTTAAAAAGTTGAATTTTTAAAATTCATTATATTATTGGACTTCCTGTGGTTGGAGCATGCGCAGTAAAAATTGTTTTTTAACCGATATGGACTTTGAAGATGGCAGAGGAAAAATATGACTTTTTGCTGAACAATGAGCTAAATAGCTACCAAATAGCCATAGCTTTCGACCTGGCAAATTCTCTGAGAGCAGATGAGATTGAAAATTTTCTCGAAATTTATGACAGTATTCCCGAAAGTATTGAAACTGAGCTGGTAAGTGGTATTAAAGACTTTTATACGGTTGCCATAACAGCAAGACGCTATTGAACAAACCTTATAGAGTTTTTCCCGTCTTGTACCAATTATATACTTATATCTATATACGTTATTATTCAATTTACTCGACACCGTAATACAGTCATACCAGGTTTAACTAGCTGCCGGGCAAGTAAGTATAAATTTAAAAGTGAGGTACCAGATCATAAGGTATTAATATTCAACATATGAGATTAAAAGACATGTGACCTGGCGAGTTTATTATGCAATCCTTGCCCTTTGCTACTGAACTCAGGTCTCCTATTTTAAGATATTGAAGTAAGGGATGTTACTGAGCCATCTATTAGCTGAAACCAAATGTTCTGAGATCTTCGTTGATTACTGAACTGAAGTGGTTGGAGGCTGCAGCCTTTATTATATCTTGAGGACTGAGATCTGGATTTTACAGCAATTGTCTTTTTTCAACGTGTTACGTGGACGTCCAGTTACTGTGGTATAGAATACGTACGTCGATCTGTTTGTCGTAGGTTAGTAAAACTAACTTGGTTGTCTCTACTCTAGTACTTGGGTTTTACGACGAGTTACTCAAGGAACTTGTTAAAAAGGCAGAATCGTGCTATCATTAAAAGCTTAGAATATAAGGGTTTAATATAGTCTTTTATGAAACTTAACTTATATAAAAAATCCTACATCAAATGTAAAGCACTCAACATTTACTCGTAGCGTAATCTTTTCTCTCAGTCAATAATATTTTGTACGAGATACGGTACTTCATAAAATTTTACGGTGCTTCATAATATTTTGTACGAGATACGATATTTTATGATTTTTCATTAACAAGCAAGTTTCATTGTGCACATCGTACTCCTGCATTGCGTCATAATTTTTGGTAATCTTAAAAAAAAATTCAACGTTTGACCCTTTAGACAGTTTTCAAAATAATTCAATTATATTAATTTTTTCTTGTCGTTCACTGCAAGAACTTAAGTAAGAGCTAATGGAGGGAGATAACAATTTTCTTGTAGAAATCAATTTCATTATTTATCGATGCTTAAGATAATGCGATTTTAAATACATTGCTAACATCCCACTTATCCTTTGTTTTGATAGAGTGTTCCATAAATTACTTACTGTTTACAGATTTGAACTGGAAATTAAATATTCACAGCATTTAAAAAATGATTTCAAGATAAAGAATTATTGTAGACGTTCAATTTGCCTTGTAGTTATAACATTAACTTGTACTTTAAATTACCTAATCATCTTTGGATCCAGGATTCGGTGGTATGAAGGGTGGATAGTGCTAAATCCAACAGATAAATCTTATCCAGTGGATGAATTTATTGGATAACAGCATTGACTTATCGACTGTATAAGAACGTATGTATCCATTGTGCTATCCACCCTTCGTACAACCGGGTCCAGGTGGTTTAATATTCCCACCAGCCGTTCAGAGTTTGTACAGAGGGCTTCTAGAACTCTAGATATAGTCCACAGTGTTAAGGGAGGTGTGTGTCTAGTTTACTTTATGACTAGGTTTGGTCATTTGTTAACATTCTTAAAATTGTCTTCAATTTGAGGCTAACATGGAATTACAAAAAAATGCCTCAAAAGCCATCAAGAAAAAGTGTGATTTCTTTGTATTTTGATGTTAGCTCCTCATTCAAGGCAATTTTGAGAAGGGTACTTTGCCTTTTGTCATGATTGCTGTGAATTAAAATAAAAATGAAATTTAAAATTCATTGTTTAGTACCAGCAATTTGTGTGTAACTAGTAGAACTGAAATGTTCAAACAGTGAGACTAGCATCATTGAAGACACATATCTTATGTAGTTATTATAACACTTTGATAATTTTTTCTGCAGATTGACCAAATAAAAGAAATGGCAAGACAACTGGCTGCCTTGCCTAAAATACAGTTTGATATGTACAGGACAAAATCAAGAGTTTTGGGTTCAGGGGATCACTTCGAATCACCTCTCACTTCATCAAAGAATACAAAGAGAAAAATGACATTTGATTCAGCTGGTAATCACATTACTATGAATATATCTAACAATGGTGGCTGCAAAAACGAGGAAAAAATCAATGTGAACAATGTACTAGAGACAGAAGAGAATAAGGTTACAAGTGCTAAATCTGCTAAAAAGAAATTAAAAAAGAAAAAGAAGAGCAAGGCTGTTTTTTTAGAGGAAAACCCTGAATCATCTAATGTTGACATAAGCAGCAAAAATGCCAAAGATTCCTCTCAAAATCCAAAGATTTTAATGACTAATAAATTAATAGACCCAGATCAAAGTAGCTCAAGAATTGCTACCATGAATAGAACATTGGTTGCAGACATTTGTGCAGTTTCATGTTTCAATAGCCAGGGTATGAATTCTAATGAAACTTCTAACAAAATATGTAAGAAAAAAGATGGAGATAGCAACAATCCTAATATATGTCCCAAACAAGAGAGCAAGCCAAAGACTACAGATGAGAATTATTCTCATGATATCAATGGTAATTTTTTCTTTCTGAATTTATTTTGTGTCTTCCTAAATGTGGTACTTAATTATTTATGATAAGAAAGAACCTATTTGAGATGATATTTTTCATGTCAGTTATCCTGTTATTCTAGTGTCATCCTCATATTTTTTCATGTATTGGCTCAAGGCTTAGAGCACTACAAACTTGATCTGAAATAGGGAAATTGGTTTCAATGGAGAAATTGGGCTTGACCATGCCAAAAAGTTGTGCTCGTAATGTAATTCATGGGGGTGGGAAGCTTTAAGTTCAATTCCAAAGCCATAGCTATATAACTCAATTAAAAGGTATCATTGACTCTTATATATTTTTTGTAATCTATTAAAAAATATTCTTTTATTTTTCAGATTCTGATAATCACCAGTCTGCTCCTCCATTTGGGTTTCCTCTTTCTGCCAGTAGACTTATTGAATCTGCAGTTGATCTTCTTGATTCTTGTTCAGGAGCAACTACTAGCAGCTATGAACATACAGGAATGCAGAATAAGGACAATGAAATCTATGTGCAGCAAAAGAATGATACAATTGGTGATGTTAGACAAAGTACTGTGGAAATAAATGGATGTGTTCAAATAAATTGCAATGAGAGTAACAGTAAAATAGATCAGATTACCAGTAAGAAATGTGAACCTCATGGGGAAACTGATTCAGTTGATGGTGACATATCCAACCTCTCTGCATTGGAAGATGAAGGAGGATGGCAGTCACAGGTTAGACGATCCAATCGAAAGAAAAAGAAAGAGCTTGCTGCTAGAAATCCTAGAGAAAGAAGTCAATCTGATCATAAAAGCAAAAAGAACTTCCAAAAGGATTACAAGACCAATAGTGTTAAGAAGCAAAATTCTAAGAACAATACAAGTAATAGAAATCAGAGTGGAAAATGTAAAGAAATTCTTGAAACTTATACTCCAAATAATGCAACAAAGGACAATGGTAATGGTTTATATTCAAAAAGAAATGAAGAAAAAGACAGGAAACAGGAAGATGCCAAGGAAACATTTTCTTATAGAGATGCATTGTTAAAAAGCAAGCCAAAATCCTCAGGTATATTATCCTTAGATTCTGAAGGAAGGATTATTTTTGAATTGTGACTTTCAAAAAAACATGGCACAGAAATGTGCTTCTCTGAATTGAGGTTAATTTGTCCATGAAATCTTAATGCTAGATTTCAATAATTATTCAGGTCATCTTGTATAAAGTAATAGACTGATATGGCAAACATAAGGCAATGTGAAAGAGGATGGCGAACATGCAGAGGAATGGCTTTGAAAACAACAGTTGATATTGTGACATCCTGAAAACAAGACGTGAAAATAGGCTAAATAGCATCAAGATTGTGGCATTGAGATCCCAACTGCTGTATATTTGAAAGCCATTTGTCAGTGTAAGCTCCATCTTCTATCATATCACGTGTTTGCTAAATAATTCTCATACTCATTAATATTTCATGAGTAATCCAGCCAATCAATAGGCTATTTTTTGGTTAATATGATGCTACTTGAAACCTGGTAAAGTTCTGCGAAAGCACTAAATTTATTTTGCTCAAGTCCTTGGACTGGATCAAAATTAATTCAGTTCAGGGACATATCTGTCCCTTAAGTCTTTCAATCCTAAACAAATAACCTCCTGAAGTATTACTGAGTATGAGAAGTTATTTCAAAGCCTCCAAATCGGACTGGATGGGATTTCAAGTCCTAAATCCCATCCAGTCCTCATTGTTGGCTTTGAAATATTGCATGTACGTCTAGTGATTGGGAGAGGGGAGGAAGGGATTGTCTGTCTGTTTATTGGCCATTATTATGCATGATTCTTGACAGATTCAATCAAAAATACATCCATGAAATCAAACTGAATAAAATATAATTGTTATAAATCTAAACACTTTTAAGTTCCCAAACAGTTTTGCAAAGTTAATGAGCTTCATTGGGTAATAGTGTTTGTTTGTTGCTTTATAACAGAGGAACTGCAGTACAATAGTGATAGTGGTGTGGATGTCAATAGTGTCGGCTCCTGTGACTCAGCTATTCATTCTTCCAAAACATTTTGTGAATTTGATCTCAAGGAAGCTGTCAACTTCCTTAACAAAGGTATTTTTTAGTATTATTATTTTTTAAATTGTGCACAAGACTTATAGATTACATAATTCACTTGAATTTAGATTCCACAAATGACAGATCAAAGGGGGGCACTTTCATGTAAAGGGATGGTCATCCAAAATTTTGAAAATGACCCCTAAAAGTTACCCAATTCTTGTCCAGGTGGGCGTGGCAACTAMATGTAAATACGACTTTTGCTCCTACAACCTTTGTACTGATGCCGTGGCCAAATGACGTCACGCTACCACACTGCAAACACTGCCAATAATGCACCTTTTATAGCATTATTTTTTCTAACTTGTTCTTCAAATTGTATTGATTATATTAATTTTATGCATGCTCACCTTCCAAGTTTGTAAGCATGTAATTTAACACATTTTTTTCCTGACTATAAGGTTGCAATGAAGTACGAGTGAGGCACAAGCAAGGTAAATGTCTTTTGTCAGTCATAATGTCCACTGTTATTGCTTATTACTTGTTTCTACATGAGAAAACATAGTCTAAGGCTAAACCCAACTGTCCAAATTATTTATTCCAGTTAAAAAATCAATTGTCTACTTGTGTCTCTCAAACTCATTTCTCCAAACTTGTCTCTCTCACTCGTGGTCGGCAAACTCAGAACTCTCTTGTCCATCCATCCAGTCTCCAATCTACCTAAATTTACACAACATTGAAAACTTTCTGAAACATTACTATTGACGTAAAAAAAATCATCCACATTAATTAAAAGGATGCTTGCATCTGAGCAATGCCCATGAACATCCATTCATACATTAGTTTCTTAAAAATATAGCACATCAATAATGAGAAAGGTTAGAAAATTATTACTTTTCAAAAGAAATGAGAAACTTGAGTGAATAGACCTCTTGCTTTCGTTGATTGTTGTGCAGATTTCAGACCACATGATGCCAAAAATAAATAAATAAACAAAAGTTTTGGGGGGGGGGGKGGAGCAGGGAAGTGCGAAGGGGGGAGAGCTGGGGCATCAGAGGATAAGGCTATTAGTAAACATTTTGATTATTGTGTGGTCCAACCTTTTATTTCGAGGTTTCTTGTTGACTTAACTGAAAGGATGATAGGAGGGTCATGAATTTCTTACTGAGTGAAAGGGAAGACTCAGCTTCAACCATTTTCATTCAGGTTCTAAACTTTTCAGTCCTTCAATTTCTGGATTGAGGTCATACTTGCAAAACTTAGCTTGTCAATTTTTTTCTTAAAATTTCACTCGCATTTTGCAAGTTTGTGAGAGTTAATTTTGTGCCTTTTTTTGAAGCATACAATAGATAGATAATTCTCTCATGAATATGAATATTAATCAAAAATACTTGCATCATAACATGATTTGACACATTTGCTTTCGCAGGAAGGGTGCATCATTACAGCCCGTGACACTCCATATTTTCAAGCTAGAAAGAAACAAGTCCATAGGAAAACTTGCTGAAGTATAAACTAGTAAATAAAAAGGTAGAAACAGATATAGCGTATGTTGCAGACAAGTCGTTCTAGGTAATACATTGTGTGAACTTGATCATTTATTTCAAGCATATGTTTAATCGGTCTTGTTTCATATTTCTGAAAGACATTTGTGTAGTTTGGGAAAACTGAAAAACTGCGTAATATCATTGGGACCATCGAGCTATTCCCTCACTTAGCCTTTTGTTTGTCTCGTCTTTGTTTTATTTTTATGACTTCATATTTCTCTTATACACCTAATTGAAAAAACGTTGTCGGGTTCAAAAAAAGGTCATATCATCAAAGCTAAGACCGAAGGGGAGCATGGGAAGACAAACAATAATGCTAATTTCATGCATAGTGCAGTTTTCCCTTCCATGTTATGCATCATGGCTTTGGCATGTTGTTAATCTAGGTCGACCGACTTTGCTCTACTGTGCATTTTTACATGTCTATATGCAAATATAATACACATTTCGGAGTATCCAAAATCCTTTTCAGTCTTAGCTTCGAAGATATGACCTTCTCGAACCTAGCCTGCAGAGCAGGCGTTCTTTTGATGGATTACGTTTTTTCAATTAGGTGTATACACCTATTTCAATAAACGTTACCATCGCGATAAGGCGATAGGCAATAGGAGATAAGCGAAAAGCAATAGGAGATAGGCGAAAAGCGATAGGAGATAGGTCATTCCAAGATCCAAGAATAGCTGGAATGACTTGTGTTTCTGCTTCTTATTCTCGTTAAGAAGATAGACCTTAGTTTTGAGACTGATTCAATGTTGTTTGTAGTCGACGAAACCATTTCCGTCTCGGAATGACATCGCCTATTTCCTTTGGCGATGACAACGTTTTTTGAAATAGGTTTATTCCCTGTATTTGGTTAAGTGAAATATTCCAAATAAACTGTTTAATATTTCCGTTTTCATAAGTGAAATATCCTAAATAATTTAAGTGTTAAATATTTCTGATGGGTGGAGCTCCAGGATGGGGCATGGTGGAATCTCACACTCTTCACGTCTCGCTTCTCAAAGAGATTTTCTACAACTGCCCAGCCCGTTTCCGGGCGACCCTAAAACGCTGAACAACGCGCCACCAAAACAAGCAAAATTAAATTGTCTTACTCTACACTATAACCAACATAAGTTTCAGCTATTTTGAGCTAGTTCTCGCAAAGGTAATTTCTATTTGATGAGTAGACTTTTTACCCCGCAGGGGGAACTCCGGGATAAGATTATCGGGTATGCAAGTCAGAGATTTTCAAAAAGACCCCTAAAACATACCGTAATTCTTTTTAAAAGGGCGTGGTTGGACCTCTGATAAGAATTCACCATTTTCCATACATTGGTTCACTGGTCAAACATAAAGCATTCAGTCGAGGTTGCAAAGTTCAAATTTGAATAATCCTTTGAAAGTACCTTGGGGCCTCGCTTGAGCGCTTTGTGATTGACCAGTGAACCAATGTATGGAAGATGGTGAATACCCTTAAAGATACCAACATATTAGTAAACTAAGAAAACAAACTTAAAATATGTCTGGAATGTTAAACATTGTGTTCTGACCAATCACATGCCACAGTTGAGGAATTGATTCATTCTCGCATTCGATTGGTCAGAACACGATGTTTAACATTCCAGATCTGATTATGGGTGTTCACGGTTTTCGTAGTTTGACTGTAAAGTCTATCTTTAGGGGCTGTGCAATAATTATCAGGAGAAGGGCTGAAAAACCAGATGGGGGGAGGGGCTCAAAGTAAAACCACTCATTTGAAGGAGGGTGGCCTTAAGTTTGATTCGAAATGTATATAAAAGCAACGTGAATAAATTGCAGGAGGTGTGCCAGAAATTGATGGTTGAGTTTTTTGAATTGAAAACTCAAAAAAGGAAAGCTGAACGAAATATCCTTCCAAACATTAACTGGAAAGATGAACACGAAGGCAAAGCTCTAACAGCAAAACAACTAAAGATCTACCTCAGTCAAGCAGAACAATGTTAACGTATTAACCGGAAATAAAGCTGCGCTGATAGCACGTGTCCTTAATCTTGCTCTTGCTGAAACAAGTAGTACAGAATTCCTGTCCAGTGATTCCGAATACGACTCTGATTCTTCTGAAAACAGCTCTGATGTGGCATCAGATGACTCTGAAAGGGACGGTTTTGTTGAACATTCTTATGAAGTACTATTTGTTGCAGACGAGGACATCGAACAAGTAAGCACAGGCTTGCAATAGCATGACAACAGGTATTCACATAAAGACATTTCTAGTTGAAGGATGGTAATCATTTGGGGGGGGGGGGGTCAACGTTTTTTTTAACATAACATCTCTTAAATATAAGTGCCAAATAAATCGTATTGTATTGTATTGTACTGTAACAGAGGGGAGTAAGACTAAACATTTTGTTTTTAAGGAGGGTACTGCCGAATCTTTTGCTTGATATATCTCATTTTTCAGTCCCCCCCCCCCCCCCCCCCCCCCCCCCCCCCCCCCCCCCCCCCCCCCCCTCCTGACAATTATTGCACAGTCCCTTATACAGTGGAACCCCGTCAATAAGGACACCGTTGGGACGGACAAAACTGTCCTTATTAACGGGGCGTACAAGAACTACATCCGTATTTACTGAACTGTATTATACAATTTCATTTTGAGTTGAGTTCTGGAAAATAACAATGCGATGGTATATTGCGAGCTTTGTCTATTTCATTATGCTGTAATAGGAAACTACACTGCAATGATCAGTGTGTGTTCCGTTGATATGCAAAAACTGACAAATATAATCCGTATTAAGCTCATTATATCAATAAACAAATACAGTAGAGACGTCTTCAAATTTCAAGTGTCCTTAATGCGAGGTTGATTTTGTATGGAAACTGTCATTCAGGTCCTAGAAATGTGTCCTTTGCACAATGTATGGAGCTTTCGTTGGGACTTTGAAACCTGTTATTAAGCGGGTGTCCTTAGAGCGGGGTTCCACTGTAATTACACAGATACTCAACCGAGGACATGCACGAACGAAATAGATTACGTAAGTTTAACTTCATAGAGAAAAGAGTGTAAGCCAGAGATTTAGGATTCAACGGAGACGAAGGAATAGTGATACTTGCACACATTTAGTGTTTTTACTCTAGCATTGCACTTTTATTTAAATTGGGCTCACTATGCGGAGATTTTTCCAGCGTTAACCCGCTGACCGGTTGATGGCTTGGTACGGGCTCACGGATTCTTACGTACGTATACGAGATCTCCTGTTCATTTTTTAAGCAAGAATTATACAGGTAAACGTGCATTATAGCAATTATTTGCTAATTGAGCACTGAGAGTTTCTCTCATTCTGCATTACCAACTACTTTATGGTGGCTTTCTGGTGTTTTGGCCGACAAAACTACAGACTTTGCCAACTATAAAAAAATCATAAGCTTAGTTGGTGAAGGAGCCCCCTAGCCTAGGATTGGCTAGCCCTTTAAAACGTTAGCGTGGCATTTTGAAATATTCGTTTCATCAAAGTAAAGGGTTCAAAATAAAATTAGCAATTTTGCTAATATGTTGACGTCAGAAATTTGAATGTAAACTCATTTTTGTAGTAAGGCCAATTTTACAAAATGTCACGCTAGCCGCGTGACCAATATCTAGTACACAGTGCGAGTGCCGATGGAGAAAATGTCATAATTCCCTTTACAGCATTTTACCTTTTACATGTGTGTGTATGATATGATCAGGAGTGAACAACAACAGTTTAAACCCCAATATTGGGTTGACTGAAGGATTGCCATGAGCTGCATTTTTGGCCTGTTTGTTATGATTACAAAAATGGTCAAATTTAAAACTAGTCAAATATATTTTATTTCTCTACGTCCATTGTACATGTTCCTGCTATCATCGCACCTGAAATAAGGACATTTGGGGCAGCAATTTTTCAGTGTTATTATAACCCCCCCCCC